GGTTTCAGCTTTTAGTCTTAACTTACCGAATGCATTCGATCTAGGACAGCAAACCTATTTCGAGCAACCCAAACGGCTGTCAGGCCTGATGATCGCTTCCCTTCAGGGGCTGAAGAGAACAAAATCAAAGGGTAGGAGCATGTGGTGAGCTACTAGCAGGTGACAGAGTCAGATGCTATAGAGCTGCCAGTCTTGCTGGCTGCCATCTTGGCTTTGCTAGTTCAGCTGCTTCCTAACTAATTCAGCCATAACCTGAGGCTATTGTCAAGTGACTTTTCCCTACCAGTCCCCTCCAAACTCCAACCCCCACCCCTGCCAAGCCTCTTTCCTCTTGGCCAAGTGGCTGCACTTCAGCCAACACCATATACTGGCAGAAGGGCTGCCCATCTTGAGAGACAGCACACTCCATCAAGCTAACGAGCAGGGCCTCCCTGGCCAAGCTGTGGCACAGCAAGCAGCCTGTCAATGTCCTAGGACCTCCTATCAGAACAAACTGGAGTAGAGGCAGCCCCCTCCCCAGGTTGCAGCTGCTCGCTGCTTTTAACATGCAAATGTAGACCTCCTAGTAAGGCACAGTGGGGCAGAGCACTCCCAACCAAATCTTGACAAGCGAGTTCTATGCTGGGCAGTATTTAGCACTAAGCTGTTGCTCTGTTAAGTGTTAAAGACTTATTACCCCAAAGAGAGTTCCTCATTTTCTGGTGGTTGATTAGAATTTTCCAATGGACACCCCTCTCTACCCTCTGAGAAACTTGTGAAAGATGCATTGAAATATTTTTTCATATATTATAACAGCAGAAATCTGGACAAAACATGCTGGTCAGCCTTGCCTTATATTTCTCTGGCACCTGGAGTGGCAGACAATTTGAAAAACTAATTATCATAACCAACATTCCCTGTTTTGGGGGTCAGGGAACAACACTACTCCAGCTTTTGATTTTTCTTCTTCTGTTTCCCAACAAAGAGTCAAACCTTATAAATTGTTATCTCCCTCAAAGGATGGAGAACAGAAAAGTGATAATGATAATAATAATAATAATAATAAAAGATATAATAATATATACAATAATAATAACTAAACAAAATATTTTAAACTAATAATTGTAAACAGATCTGGGGGAACAAAAGCAAGGGAGTAGGTTGGGAAGAACCAAATCACAAGATTTAGTCAGAACTGGCTCGAATGTCTAATTTGTAAGGGGGATTTTGACTTACAGACACCAAATATATAGAGATTTTTCTCTGTCAGTATGAGCACATTTAAAAGAAGGCGAACAGGATTAACAATAATGACCTGAGGTACCCACAAAAGGGACAGAGCTAGCAAAACATTTCTTGAGAATGTGTTGATGGGGTCTAAAATATGATCAAAGTCTGCTAGTGAAAGTGGGGACCTGTAGAATAAATCTCTGATATGCTAAAGTCTATAAACCCCCTGGAGGAAGAGCACTGACAGGAGCAGAAGCCAGAGTGAAATCCATTCTGAGAATGTTTTGTCAGCAAGTTCTAATAGTAAGAACATCAACAAGGGATAGTGGTGATGAAAGAGGTAGGCAGGGGTCTCAGCTGGATCCTAGGATCCCAGGTGGGGCCCTGGGCTGTTAGCAGCCTCATCTTTTTGACGTGCAAAAGGAAGCAAATCGGATCTGGATGTGGATAGAAGAGTATAAATCCCTAGTCCCAGGATGAGACATTGCAAGATTGGAACCACATTTTTAAATAAATGAAACTACCAGGGTGAAAGTCATATCAGCTGACAATAAACTAGGATAACATGCTGTGCTGAAAGAGAAAATGGAGAGTTTCTAATAACCAAATTATAAAATATATATATCTAGCTGGGGTAATAAAATGGAGGGGAAACATGAATATTTCACACCATGGTCGCCTCTGATGTAACTGTCAGCAGCACCTGCCAACAGACATGAGTGATGTGACCACAGCCTGGGGATGGGATGTGAAAACCTTGAAGAAGAATAATGATGTGGGTAAGGAGAGCTGGAAGCAGGCTTAGGTAGACAAAGAGCATGCTTACCATCAGGATTCTGCGAATCGGCATCTTTGGGGATGGTGTATAGATCATAGGTACTATTCTCTAAATTGCTGGCTCTCTGTAGGAGAAAAGGGAAATTAAAATGTTAGTGAGGAGCACCCAAGATACCAGTTTATTCTAACAGAGAAAACAGTTCCATTACACAGACAACAATATGAAACTATACTTTCATCCCCCTTCACCCAGACAGTATTCAAATGTTGCCACATCTAAGAATTATAAAGCTTTTAGCTAAACAACTCAGCAATGATATTTTCTTTATCCTTTAAAGAGGCAGATTTTATCTGAATGAAAACCAGGATTGCCCTTTTCCACAAATCAAAAGCCTAAGATCTCTGACATTCTGGAGTCCCACCTGAATTATGTTTATCAACATTAAAAAGTTTGCTTGAGGGCTGGGGATGTGGCTCGAGCGGTAGCGCGCTCGCCTGGCATACGTGCAGCCCGGGTTCAATCCTCAGCACCACATACAAACAAAGATGTTATGACCGCCGAAAACTAAAAAATAAATATTAAAAAATTCTCTCTCTCTTTAAAAAAAAAAAGTTTGCTTGAGAGAAAAAAAAAAGTCATTAAAAAAATGCCAGGGGAATATGGGAATTGCCATAAGAATATGGGACTGCTAGATATTAAGAGAATGACCAAGATTGGACACTAGAGGTTATATGGGAAAAGATGTTTTAATTCTTTTAAATTTGGCCATCTGGGCACTGAAATTAGAATGGTCTTTTTGTTCCCCTTTTTTTCTTTTTGCAAATTGTATGACAAGAAAGGCTTTGATGGGGATGGGGTTGTGGCTCAGTGGTAAAGCACTTGCCTCGCACATGTAAGGCACTAGGTTATTATTAAAAAAATAGTATTTTATTTTTTAGTTGTAGATGGACAGTATCTTTATTTTATTTTTATGTGGTGATGAAGATCGAACCCAGGGCTCGCACATGCTAGGCTACCGCTGAGCCACAACCTCAGCCCTAAAAATATTCTTAAAAAAAAAAAAAAGGCTTTGATGACTCTGAAGGCAACTTCATTGAAAAGAACCCCCTTCCAAAATCTATTTTCCCCCAAAGGGAGAGATCAATATAAGCATCTCCTTTGCATGGGATACAGTTGTAAACTGTCTCTCCAATCACTTGCAGTAATCTGGGTTATTCATCTTGAGGCTTTATTAAGTTTAGATATTATATTAGCCTTATGAAAGATTCATGTTCACAAACCTTCAATTTCCTTATGACAACTGAAGCCTTTCTAGTTTATGCTTAGTTTGTGTTCACTTGCAAAATGACCATTAAATAGCTTTTAAGAAGTCATTGCAGTTTCACTCTGGGGATCAGAAAGATAACTAAGGAGAATTTAGGAGGAATCCATAGGTTACTTACTGTACACAACAGGACTGCATTTTCTGCTGGATTGTATGACATATTAAAAACTGGAAACTTGGACCCACTAGAGATATATATATAGAAAAAGGAGAAAACAGAATAGGTATAAGAATAGAAGAAAGGAATTATCCTTTCATTTTTAATTTATTCATTTATTTGGTTCTGGGAATTGAACCCAGGGATGCTTTACCATTGAGCTACATTCCCAGTCCTTTTTATTTTGGGACAGGGTCTTGCTAACTTACTGAGGGTCTTGCTAAGTTGCAGAGGCTGACCCCAAACTTTCCTTCCTTCTACCTCAGTCTCCAAGGTCATTAGGATTATAGGCATGTGCCACCACACCCAGCACTTCTTATCTTTTTATAAATTTTTTTTGTTTTAATTTTAATTTAATTAGTTATACATGACAGTACAATGACATTGATATATCATACATTTGAATCAGAAGGGATATAATTTCTCATATTTCTGAGTGTACAGGTTGCAGAATCATATTGGTCATGCAGTCACATGTATACACATGGCAATAATAATGTTTCATTCTACTATCTTTATATACAAACTCATCACTTTTATAAATATAATTAAAAATTGAATTTTTTTCTCCTCCTTTTTGTAGGGCTTGGGAGCTCATTGCAAGCCCTAGTACAAGTCAAATTATTCAATAAAAGGTAGGGTCAGCACTCACTATAGTGAGTGGGATTGGTTCTGCTTGGGTACAAATTCCTACACATAATTGCAATGGACACCACAGAGTAACTTGATGTGATGTCTCTGGCTGGTTTCTCCTGTCCCTTGGATTGTTCTCATAAACCCATCTTTTTATTGTAGTGACGCTAGAGGGTGGTTATCAAACTCGCATGCCAATGTTTGCCACTATGAATGTTTCAGCATGCTGATGCAGCTGGCTTTCCAAAAGGACAGTTCCTTTTGCCAGGCATCCCAGAGGTTATCATATCTTCACAATTAAGAGTTTCCGGAGACATATATTCTCGTTTAGAGTTGTGTACATTTTGCTGGAAAGCAAAGAAAGAGTTATAGAAAACTAAAACTCTTTTATAAACCTCCATTATGGTACTTACCCTGTACTATAATCATTTAGGTCTATTAAACCACTATGTTATGAGATCTCTCAAGGCAGATATGCTAAATAAGGGTTAAAAGGCCCATCTCTGGTCGGGTGTGGCAGTGGATACCTGTAATGCCAGCAGCTCAAGAGGCTGAGGCAGGATTACTAGTTCAAAGCCAGCCTCAGCAACAGTGAGGCGCTAAGCCACTCAATGAGACCCTGTCTCTAAATAAAATATAAAAAAGGACTAGGATGTGGCTCAGTGAGGAAGCACCCCTAGGTTCAATCCCTAGTACCTGCACCCACCAAAAAAGGCATGTCTCCAATTTGGGATACTCTCTTATCATGAACGTTTTTCTGGTTTACAAACTATAACAGTACAATTTCCTCCCCACGCAGTGTCCATTGCTAGCACTCTCAACAGAGAAATTCCCATTTTACTTCTGGTCACCTCCTTATTTGCCATGCTAGGGTTTAAGCTGAGCAGGGTTATCGTTTGGGGATTTCATCTGTGATAGGAGGTGAGATCCAAAGGTCATTTAAAAGAAAGAGCCCCGTTTTGGGGCAATATATCACAGTGACTGATGAAAAGGTTTGTAAAAATAGAAACAAGTCAGATTTACCTCCTCAACTGCATTACAGCTACATCCTTAGAACTGTTGAAATCCAGCTGACGTAAGAATCGGTCCTTGACATAATGTAGCATGTTGCCATGCACAGCATAAGCTGGCCGTTCCCGTTCTAGCTTAAACACAATCATGCCACCATCGTGACCTGGGGGATAGGAAACAGTGAGAAAAGAATTAACTATAGGGGAAAAAAAAAAAAAAAAGCTGGCACCAGGAGATGCACAAGGATGATTACATATGTAAGCAAAAATTAAGACAAGACACCTGCTATGGTTTGGATGTGGTTTGTCCCTCAAGGATTCATGTGCGGGAAATATGATCTTAGTGTGGCAGTGCTGAAGTGCTAGAATTTTAAAGAACAGAGCTTAACAGAATGTGACTGGGTCATTAGAAGGTGAACCCTCAGAAGGGATTAATGTAGTTGTCTCAGAACAGTGATTAGTTCCCTTGAGAGTAGGTTGTTATACTAAGAGAGTAAGCCTGGTCCCTAAATCTTCTCTGGCTTCTTTCTGGCAATGGAATCTCTCCTTGCCCACACTACTGCCAGGATGGTGTCAGCCATGCTGTGACACAGCCAAGAAGTCATCACGAGAGGACAAAGAGTTGTGGCTGCCTAATCTTGGACTTTAGACCTCCAAAACTCTTGAGATAAATAAACCTCTTTTTAAAAATAAAATAAAATATCCAGTGTTAGAGGTTTTGTTACAGCAATAGAAAAAACATTAATACAATACCTAAATGCATCCCTTATTTGCCTGAATTCTCACAATTCTTGAAATCTATTTTTTGGTTGTGGGGGGCTACTGGGGATTGAACCCAGGGTCACTTAAACACTGAGCTACATACCAGCCCTTTTTATTTTTTATTTTGAGACAGGGTATTGCTAAGTTGCTGAGGCTGGCTTTGAACTTGTGATCCTCCAGCCTTAGCCTCCCAAGATGCTGGTATTATAGGCATACACCACCACTCCCAGCCTTGAAATCTTTATTTAAATAATTCTCTTTGAGGGCTGGGGATGTGGCTCAAGCGGTAGTGCGCTCGCCTGGCATGTGTGCGGCCCGGGTTCGATCCTCAGCATCACATACAAACAAAGATGTTGTGTCCGCTGAGAATTAAAAAATAAATATTAAAAAATTCTCTCTCTCTAAATAATTCTCTGTGAATACTTTCTTAATACTAAATCACACTGTCACATTTAGACACATCCTTCTCTGTAAGTCCCTAAAACTTTTATAGACTTCATTATAGTACTTATGTCTATACTGTTAAATCTCTCACTTCCATTATACCATTAGTTCACTGAAGGCAAAAAAAATTGCAATAATTTCTATCCTTTATCAGTCCCTAGTAAATAAAAAGAGCAAAGGTATTTGTTAAAAAAATGAATGCTAGTGTTAAAGGCCTTTATGGTTCTGTTTTTTAAAATTTTTGCTCTTACTATATTAGCATTGTCCATCCCTTAAAGAAATACTCTATTCTTATACTCTTAAGTGACATAAACCAGTGTCACTTCCCTGTCCAAAATCTTTCAATGGTTTTCCACTTACTCAGGATAAAAATCACCAAGTTCCAATCATGATTTATAAGATAATGCACACTCAGGCTGGGTGTGGTGGCACATGCCTGTAATTCTAGCAGCCTGGGAGGATGATGCAGAAGGATTGAGTTCAAGGCCACCCTCAGCAACTTAGTAAGACCCTGTCTCTAAATAAAATATAAAAAGGGTTGGGATGTGGCTCAGTGGTTATATTCCCCTGATTTCAATCCCCGTACCAATAATAAGAATAATAATAATGATGATGATGATGATGCACACTCTGGTGTGTCTCCCCTTGCTATTACTTAGCCCCTTGGCTCATCATAATTCTACTGATCTCTGATATTCTCTTAACATGCTAAGCACTTCTCTTTATTATCCTACTATATGTTCTTTGCATTTGCTCTTCCATTGTCTCATTCCTTTTCACTTTTCTAAACACTAAATATACAGTAGTGGTCCCCACATTTGTTCCTATTTATCATCCTCTCCTTAATTTTGATATTTTTCTTCAAAGCATTTTTTTTAAACCATGCATCACTTTATATATTTATTATTTATGGTCTATCTCCCCTAACTACCAATAAAAGCTACGTAAAGACAAAGGCTTTATTTTATATATTGCTTTAACACTAGAACCCAGAACAGGGCCTACCACTTAATATGTATTTGTCAAACAAATGAATAAGCTTCTCAGCCTAAGATTCTAAGTGTCCTGTATTAGCCTCCTATGAGCTCCTAGGAGCTACTCAAAGAGAATGAGCTTTACCATTAAAGGAATCTTGGTAGAGAAAGAGCACTAAATACTACCACTCCAAGAAAAGGAATAATAGTATTTAGTGACTCTGAATTCTACTGTGTGTTTACTAGAGACAAAGCTAATGAAGAATTACTTTCAAGTAATTTGAACTAAAGCAACAACAAAGAACAGGAGGAGGAAAAGGAGGAGGAGGAGGAAGTGGTGGTGGTAGTAGTAGTAGTAATAATAATGGCCCTTACCTGCTGCAAAGAGGTTAAGGTTGGGGTGGGCAGCTAAGACCCAGAAACGATCATGGTCCCTCCGGAAGGTCTGAACCCCAGTCCTAGGAAAGCAAATGGTAGACAAAGAACATTAATTTCCTAGGAATCTTCAGCTGACCACATGCAAGAATAGTGAATGGTGAACCTGCAAGGCGATTTAAAAAGTCAATCAGGTGTGTATGATAAGTAAAGGCATATATCATATTAAAGTCTATGAACGAACAGAAAAGAGGAAACTTCAAACTGATCATATTATTATCATTATTATTATTATTGGGGGTCCTGGGGATTGAACCCAGGTTCAGTCCAACTGAGCTCTATCCCCAACCCCCACCACCCTATTATTTTGATACTTCAATTCTCCCTATTCATCCTAAATATTTTACTGTATTGTTTCATTTCATATTTCTTATTTCTGTTGCTAAAGAACCGGGGGGGAAAGGAGAGAGAAAAATGCTCAAATTCAGAGGAGGAAAAGAATATACACAGAGATTTCTATTTGATAGAAAATTAATAAATGTTGATCTTTAGGTCTCTTCAAGTTTTTATAATTTATTAATTGATTTCTACACATGTTAAAGATGATGAGAGAAAAAAAGGAACATTATAATCTAATTTTCACTTTCTTTTGGTATGGAAATTGAACTCAGAGGTGATTTACCACTGAGCTACATCCCCAGTCCTTTTTTTAAATTTTATTTTCTGTAGTTGAAGATGGACAGAATGTCTTCATTTTATTTGTTTATTTTGATGTGGTGCTGAGGATCGAACCCAGTACTACCACTAAGCTATAGCGCCATCACCATCCCCAGTCCTTTTTAAAATTTGTTTGGGGACAGGATTTCAAAAAGTTGCCCAGGCTGGCCTTGAACTTGCAATCCTCTTGCTTCAGCCTCCTGAGTTGTTGGAGTTATAGGTGTGCACCACTACACCCAAGTTCTAATCTGATTTTTAAAGGGAGAAAGTAAGAAAGAGAAAGGGGGCTATTCCCATTGGTTTGGTCACACAACATCAGTAAATCCCTTACCGCTTAGACATATCCCAGACTCGAATACTCTTGTCTTCTGAATTGCTGAGGATCAACTCTTGGCGAGGGTGGAAGACAGCACAAGATACGTTGTTGTAATGGCCCCGACAGGTGTCAACCTCCCATGCTTTTGATTCTGAAGGATGAAAGAGAATTAGGTTATTGCAATTCCCTATTACTATACAACAATCTTCTTAACCAAGTTCTAGGTACCACTACAAAATACTAAAATTAACTTCTAACGGGGCATTTTTTTTTCTCTCTTCTTCCTTTTCCTTTGTTTCTCAAAGTATTTTTTTTAGTTGTAGATGGACACAGTATCTTTTTATTTATTTATTTATTTTTTATGTGGTACTGAGGATCAAACCCAGAGCCTCATGCATGCAAGGCAAGCGCTCTATCACTGAGCTACAACCCAGGACCTTTCTACCTTTTTTAAATCCCTTTGGTGCTGAGAATCAAACTCCAGGTTTTGCACATGTTCGGCATAATCCGAGCTATACAACCAGTCTGAAAATATAGGAATTTTCTTCATTTGAGTCTTTTAATCTTTATGTCTCTGTCCTTTCATTCCAACCCTCCCAGCAATTATAAAACCTCTGTTCCATCATTCTTCAGGTTTTTTATCCTGTTTTATTTGTCCTGATAGCATTTGTCACTAGTTGCCATTTTAGAACAAATGTAAACTCCATGACAGAAGCTTTATTTATTTTTTGTGGTGCTGGGGTTTGAAACCATGGCCACGTGCATGCCAAACAAGCCTTCTACCACTGACCATACAAAAAAAGATGGAAGAAAAAAGGCAATGCCAATGTTCCCAGAATTAGCATAAGATAATAACCTAAAGTAGGAAGGCAGGTCAAATTTTACAACAGATTAGCTACTTAGGTGGCTAACTGTCAATTTCTACCCCTTCCTCACCTTTTTTCAGTACTAGAGATTGAATGCAGGGCCTTGTGCATGCTAGACTAGTGGTCTACCACTAAGCTGTAGCCCCAGTTCCCAGCAGTCAATTTCTTAAGACATGGTGATACTCTTCGTTGTGGTTCACTCACCATTCATGCGCCAAATCTTCACTTGACGGTCATCTGCCCCAGATACGATAAGGGGCATAGTGGGGTGGAAGGCAGCCCAGTTTACTCCACGATCATGACCCTATTTAAAAAAAAAATATAATAGTTTTTTTCAAAACAGCTTTATAACTATCAGACAAAGCAAATCAATGAACCATGCTGGTAGTTGTAAAAGATGTCTCTAATTTACTCTTTATGTCAAAACTCAAGGGACTATGCCACTATGTAAGGTTTTGAACGTTAGAATTACCAACCATGTCAACCTACCCAATATTATTCTAATCCTCATGGGAATTTCCAAATATTTCTACCCCTAAATTCAGTTTCATTTAGGATATTTTTGCCTTGTTTTTCTTTTCTTTTTTTTTTTACCTACTATATCTTATTTCTCTAATTATTAACCTCAAGTATAAAAACCTGTTTTAGGTGGGTATAGAAGCACACGCCTGTGATCCCAGCTGCTGGGAAGGCTGAGGTAGCAGGATTGCAAGTTTGCATCCAACCAGGGCAACTTAGCAAGACCCTGTCTCAAAATCAAATGGGGAAGAAAAAAAACAAGAGTGGGGATGAAGCACAGTGGTATTAGGCAAGTGGCACTGCCAAAACTAAAAGCTATTTTATAACTTAATGCATAAATTCTCAACATGTGGTCCAAAAACTTTTGGATTATTCTCAGGATTTCTTTAGAAAGCCTGTAAGATCAAAACTATTTTCATAATAAATACTAAGACTTCACTTTGTTTTCATTCTTATTGTGTAAGAATGAGTATAAAACTGAGTTTTTGGGAGGCTACATGACAGGCGATAATATCACTCTACCAGCAAATAAATGTGTGCTGACATAGTTCATGTTTTATTTAATTTTCTGCAGTACTGAAGATTGAATCTAGGACCTCATACACACTAGGCAAGCACTCTACCTGAGTATACAACCAAGCCCTTTTTAAAATTTTGAGATAAGGTCTCCCTAAATTGCTCAGGCTGAGCTCAAACTTGTAATCCTCATGCCTCAATCTCCTAAGTAGCTGGCATTACAGGAATGTGTCACTATGCCTGACTTTGTTCATGTTTTAACAAGTTCTTGGTTTTAGGCTTGGGTCATAGCTCATGGTAGAGCACATGGTTAGCATGAACAAGGCCCTGGTTTTAATCTCCAGTTTCAATTTCAAATATGGTTAAAACTGACAGATACAATCTACATAAACAAAAATTCAGGTTCTCAATAAATTTTAAGAGTACAGAGATTCTCAAGACTAAAAAATTTAAGAACTGCTAATCTTAAGATATTCTATATCCTATTTATATAGTTGTACTCCATTCGTGATAGAAACATGGATAAGGTAGTTTTGATTCAAAAGAACTTTTGAGACATATCATGGTATGGTTAAAAGCAGCTGGGTTTTGAAGTCAGAGATATCCAAGTTAAAATCCTATTTTTTTCTTTCATTTACTAGATACATGTGAACTTCAGTAAACTCATTTCTCAAATACCAATTTTTTTCATTTTGTAAAATGAGGTTAATGATACCTAGCTTAGTGAACAACTGGGGGGTTAAATCAGATATTTTTTATCTTAAAAGAGCTAGCTTACTTCCCTTATGCTTTTCTCTTTTCCCACAATGAATAGAAATTACTTACACGTGGTTTATAGTAATATTGATTACATTTATTTCTGCCACCTGCTTCCAGGAAGCTTGAGCGTAGACCTGCTTTGGGATAGGACAGTGATGGAGCTATGCTCAGCTTTCTTCCTCTCTCCCCACTGGATTTATAAGGCTATATGAAGTTTCATTTCCTTCTCAGTTTACTCACAATTCTACTTCCAATGCCTTAAACAGCACCTGACACTTGTACCAAAAAACAGATAAATATTTGTTCAAGTAATAAATAATGAATGAGATGCTGTGACCTTCCCCAGACGAGAGCCCACACCCAGCCACTGGCAGCAGAGATAAGTACCTCTAGGACATGCTTCACCACTGCATCCGTAGTTCCAAAAAGATCAACCCCAGTTATTCCTCTCACATCTGACTCCACCGCACCAGGGGACAAGTTTTTTTTCCTTAGACCTTTGATGGGGTAAGGATCGGGATGAAAGATGCAAACATAACATTATCAAAAAGAGCATAGTACCAGAAGCAGAAAGGTACAGCAACAGACTAATATAAGAGAAAGGAAAAAGAAAGTTAAAAAGACAAGAGACTTAAGAGCTCCTATTTCTAAATATTTTGTTCAAAATTCTGAAGTTTATTCACTATCTCTTCTTCTCTTCCTTCAACATTCAAAAGGCCCACTACTGGTTTTTCTTTCTAAAGGAAACTAACCCAAATTTCAGACACAGCTAACTTCAACAAATCTCACCTAAAGAGCTGTCACTTCAGATAATACCCACTTTCCAATTTTTTGGTACCAAGGATTGAACCCACTGAGCCACATCCCAAATCCTTTTTATTTTTATTTTGAGACAGGGTCTATGGTATTGCTGAGGCTTCCTTTGAACTTGAGATCCTCCTGCCTCAGCCTCCCAAACTACTGGGATTATAAGTGTATGCCACCATACCTAGCTTTCACTCTTCAATGTTCTCAAAATGTGGCCTCAAATAGTAAACATTCAATATTCACTTTTTTTTAAATTACATGAAATATATAACACTGTTTTTTCATCATCTCAAAATATTGTAAAGAAAAGTCATTTGGGGAGGCCACAGTTCAGTGTTTCTCAAACTGGAAGCCTGAAGGTAATTCATAAGGAAGTCCCAAATGAGTTATAGAAACAAACTAGACCTATTAAGCATAAAACAGCTATCTGATCTAAAAAGAGACTAAAAATATGATCAAAAAGGTACTGTCTTGAAGAAAAAGTACTATGCAAAAAGTATACTTGTACCTTCTACTTGACCCTGGAACAGGGCACAAGGTAATCAAAACTTTCCCATCACTTTTAAGTTTTTACTTAAAAGGCTGGTTATAGATTTGAATATATGTATTTTGCTATTAAAACTTTTGGAGGCTGGCCTCACTGGGAGAAATTAGCCCAAAATTTGAAAACAATAGGCAAAAGACACTAGGATAAGATACATATTATTTGTAGAGGCATTTGTGCTCATCTACACCCATCCTTAAAAGCCATTTGTGCTATATCAGAATCAAAATAACAATAATACTCTCTTACACTTGAAAAGCACTTTTGATTTTCAACACACTCTTATATTACATGATTTGATTCTCATACCAACCCTTTGAGACAGACAAGCAGATATCAGTCTGTAGATGAGAAAACAGGATAAAAATCTCATCGTCTAAAGTATTTGGGGTGCAGGGAATGGAAGATGAAATTACTTAGCACTTGCAAAATATAAAACCTTGAGTAATTTCAAGCCTAAAAACTTGGTATCAGTTGGAAAATATGAAAATTTAAGCTTAATTATGTTCATTGGTTTAAAACCATCTCTCTTCTATACTAGTGCACCTAAACTTCAGCACTGGAGAAGCAAGAGCTCATGGAGTTTTAATTATCTTTTCCCCCATCCCCAAGATGAGCACTGAGCCAACAGACATAGTCATAAATATGATGCTAAAAAACAAAACCAAAAAAACCACTCTCCCAAAGCTTCATAAATACATCATCACAAAGATGCCTCCTTTCACTTATTTCACTTATCCTTTAATAGGATCTGTCAACTTTTTCTAATGAATCTGGTATATGAGAAAGATTCAAAGATAGATATAAGATAGACAGCTGTGAGGAACTTCACCTCCAATAAACTTCAACAAACACATTAAAAGGAAAGCTGTATGACAGAATGGAAACCTTTGTTGCACTTGTGTATAATGATCCAGGAAAAGGGGAAGGGCAAAACAGACAGATGAATAGTGACAAGCAGTGAAAAGATACTTAGAAAAGAAATATTTAAGCCTTCGACATGTCCCTCACTAGGACTGAACGACAGATGGAAAATTTCTACAGCAGCTACCCAAATCCAGAGGGAGAAGAGAACACTCTCAAAATGGACCAGTTTATGCACGCCTCCCAACAGGGACCAGGGGAAGCAGTAAGGAGAGAAGTGTGAGGACAGGATTTGGCAGCATATTAATACTTTTTTAGTAGTCTTTTAAAAAATTGAGCCTGAATTACATGAGCTTGACATGCAAAGGTGTAAGCATATTAAAAGAATTTAACAGTCAGTTTACTTGGAAGCTCAAAGCTAAAAAGTAATCTGTCTTCACGCTAGGCTGTAAATACATTACCTTTTAAACAAATTATTTTTGCCAGGTTAACACAAATGATTCGGACTATGCTAAGCTCAATTCTTATGGGAAACATTATCAAGAGACAGCTTCTCCTTTGAAGATTTTTACATTCTCTCGGTGCTTACCTACTAGCTCAGAGAGTGTCCCTTTCAAAAAGAGACATTTAAAATCATCAGAATTTTCACCAATCCTCTAAAATTTGGGGATATTCGTTCTCTGATTCAGAACTAACTTTTCCTTTTGTGAAATGTTAGCCCCAATCTATAACAGGCCTGAAAGCTAATTTCTCTCCCTGTGTTCAGAATTATTTGAACCAAAGCAAAAAAAGAGTTCTACTGAAAAGAGCATGCTGGTTTCTAGAGGAAAAAAAAAAAAAAGTCAGTGCAAAAGTCTAACCCCAAAGCTCCTTCTACTTGGTTAAATACCAAAGCACCTCTTTCTCCTTTGGTTAACGGGTTATTGAAGAGAATAATGAGTACAGAAAAAACACTTAGAAATGGTAAAGAGAACATTAACATTAGTATGTAAAGTTAGCACAAAATTCTCATTAACAGACATAAAAAATACAGCAATTACAATGTTATTACATAGTAATGTATGCAATTCACACATTCAAAAGCAAGTATAAACCCCACTGGGGTCATACTCTCCCTCTCTCCTCTGATCTAGGGCCCTTAATTTTGATGCAAACATGCTTTCTGCTTGTAAAAAGTTAAGAAAAACATTTCTTGCCTAGGGCTTTCAATGATTACTAATGAGAATCCAATTACCTGATTGCCCCAAATTGCTTTAGGTAGACCACAGGGAACATGCTATCCTAGTATCAGATAGCATAAACAGTACTCTAGAGTGGAGCAGTGTAAGGCCCTTCTTAACTCAGTGTTCTGTGAAAGAAGCCTTACTGCTTAAAAGCATAAGTTCAAGTATGTAACAAATTAATTTCTTCATGATCCAGAATGGTATTAGCTGTATACCATTCCTAGGAGAATTGAGAACATAATCAAAGTACTTTCTATAGCACTTAGTTTTCTCAAAGAATTTGGGTTGGGAAAAACTATTCTAAATAAATGTCTCTGATCAGGTGGAATAGTGTGACCTTAGATCTAACCCCAGCAGGACCCTATATCTTGAGATAGAGAGGGTACTTTGAATGTGTGCACAGTGAAAAACCATAGCTAAGTTACTGGAAAAATAGATGCTAAGTTCCCTGGTATTGGCAGTGAGGAGTGGGCACGGGCTTAGATGCCTGTACCTAGCTCCTCCTGCTGGCATGGCTGGTCACATCTGGGTGTACTTCATAAAGCCTTATTGGTCTGACGAAAAACTGCAATGGCAAAGCCCTAGAGGAAGGAGTACAACTGCCCTCTCTCCAATACAATCTTGTCTATACAAATCTCTTCTAATTCTAAGCCTTTGAAAATTGTCAAGACCTAGAGGGTCTGCTCTCCAATTGTTCCAATCTTCTGTTGGCTTGTTGAATGATGCATGAATCTTAAACAACTGCTACAGCAACATCCTAAATATTATATCCAGGAATTCAAATATTCAACTTGCTGTTCATCACTGGCTTATAAAACAGCAAATACCATTTTGCCCCAGCCCATCATGCCACAAGGAAGTTGGATAAAGTTATCACCTCAGCTGTTCAATGCAGAGGATGACTCCTTTATTACTATAAAGAATCAGGCAAAAATCTATATAGGGGCCTCCTTTTCATAGATTGAAACACTATTTTGCAGTCCAGCCACTGACTTTTCAAAGAACTCAATCTCAAGAATTTTTAAGGCAATGAGTAAATAGAGCAAGCGATAATGAAATATAAATGGGAAGAGAACCTCAAATTTACTCTCATTTTCCGATTCCAACACAAAGCTCTTCTTCCATCTATATCACAGGTATGGTCCTTTCTGTGAATTTGAATTCTCTGGTTAGCAACTTCTTAGATTTCCTCTATACTGCACTAAACATTTAAATCCTTATCTCAAAATAATGATATGTAATCTATGAAAGGAGGAATTATTCCAAATATCCAAAATCTACTAATTATCTAATTTCACATCCTAGAAGTCTACCTACTAACAGGTATTCTGGACCTAAAAGTTACCAACTCCCTCTGTCCCATGTTCTTTCCACTAAAAGAAATCTAATAGAGGAATAGAGGAATCTTCCTTTTTCTGAATAAGGCAACAGGATCCAAGAGTCCTGTTCCTCTGCATTAATCTGCTTTCAAATTTCTTTTTATCAAAGATGTATTCTTTCTTTCTTTCTTTTTTTGGTGGTGGGAAGTGGGTGCTGGGGATTAAACCCAGGGCCTTGTACATGTGAGGCAAGCACTCCACCAACTGAGCTACCAACATCCCCAGCCTGTATTCTTTCTTATTGGAGTAGAAAGACTGATTCTTAATCAAATACCCCAAAGGAACATAAATTTTAACTAAAAATGGATATAACAAAAGTTAAGCCAGATACAGTGGCATGCATTTGTAATCCCAGCAACTCAGGAGGCTGAAACAGGAGGCCAGCTTCAGCAACCTAGCAAGGTTCTAAGCAAGTAAGCAAAACTCTGTCTCAAAATAAAAAAGGGGGCTGGGATTGTAGCTCAGTGGCAGAGCAGTTGCCTAGCACATGTGAAGCACTAGGTTCAATCCTCAGTACCACATTAAAAAAAAAAAAATAAACAAAATAAAGATATTAGAAAAATTTTAAAAAATAATAAAAAAGGGCTCGAGATATAGCTCAGTGGTAAAGTGCCCCTAGGTTAAATCCCTAGTACCAAAATAAATAAATAATAAAAGTTAAAATTTACTCAAATCAAATGAATCTTCCAGAGTAGCCACTTTTCATAGACAGATGCATCAAAGAGAAACAATCAACAACCTCAGAAACAAAGGTTCTATCATATGGGACCAAAATATTCTAACTTTTCCTTTTCTAAGCCAACTACCCTACTTTAAGCAATTGCAGTTTTGCGCCAGACACAATAAGGTTGTCCCCTGAATTGGGTAGCTCACCAGAAATATCCCAAACGCGCACAGTCTGGTCCAGGCTGGCTGATACAACCAGGTCTTCTGAGGGATGGAACTGAGCACACATTACATAATGGTTGTGCCCCGTTAACACACTGCAAGGGAAAGAAAAAAGACAATACTAAGTTAGAGGTGGAAATCAATAGATTCCTAAGCTAAATATCTTTTCCCATATTCAATAAATACTCATCCAATTATACTTTAATGGAGGAAAAGGCAAGTAACTGTAACAATTCTGAACTAAAAAGAATAAGCAAGGTCATGTGTTTTAACAGCTTTCTTCTTGACTCTTAACACTTTTAAATATCACTAATGTCAAAAGAACTGAGATTACATAGCTTTCCTCTCTGACTAAAGACACATTAAGATATGAAAATAAATGAAATTTCAGTAATTCATACTAGGAATTATCTGATTTATTTTAGTAGGATTGCCTTAAAATACATCATTTTAAACACTCCTTATTTCTTCACATAGAATTCTATGAAAGCTTTATCTTCAAATACAAAGTAAAACTTATTGTCTAGACCCTAACTTGAGTTTTATGGAAACAGAATTGAAAAGCAAATAAAATTCTTGTTCTAAAAGTCTAGCTTTACGACTTCTCTCTGTGAAGAAATTATCAGAAAAATCCAGATTTACACATTACTAATGAGACTATCTCCATATTTATTATTTTATACTTAAAAGCATCCTGTAAACCATCAGTAATTAACCAGCAAATGTGGTACATTTGCAAAGGACAAATATTGTTCTGAAAATAAGCTGATTATGAAAAACTGGGAAGAATTAAGACTCTCTTGGAGGCTTTTGCCTCCTGCTTTACCAGACACAGGTTCTAGATTGCCAGTTCCACACTCGGATGGTCTGATCGTCTGAGGCACTCAGAATCCAAGGATATTCCTGAAAGATTTCAGACAAAGGCTCTCAACATTAAACAAACTTGGTTCTGTCAGGCTCCTGTAACTATTTTTCTCTTTTTGGGGAGCATACTGTTGCCTATCACTTCAGCTATATTAGCAAAGGAATTGCTGTTTCTGGTTTCAGGCCAGCTATGTTCTCCCACCAATCTACCAATTTTTCCTAACTTGGACATTTTCACCTAGAAGGGTTAAAATTGGATGCCAGATAGAGGCATAATAAACTTTCAGAGGCACATGGCATAATACATATTTACATTTACAAGTGTATATTTATATTTAGGTAGCTGATTTTGCAAATTAAGATCCAGTGAAAGAGCCTTCTCCTCACTCTAGGATGAGAATACTGTTTTATAATCTGAAATCTCCTGGTTAGAGTATCCAGTTTCCTCAAAATTGCCAAGTCTCAGTAAGCAAAACAGCAAGTAATATATAAAGACAATCTGGCACTGGGTATAATGGTGCACACCTATAATCCCAGCGACTTGGAAGACTAAGGCAGGAGGATCATAAGTTCAAAGCCAGCTTAAGCAACTTAGTGAAGCCCTAAGCAATTTTTGAGACCCTGTCTCAAAAAAGAAGAGGTTATGTGCTCAGTGGTTAAGTACCCCTGGGTTAAACCCCCAATACAAAAAAGAGAAAAAGAAAAAGACAATTTGGCTTTTTTTGAGTCTTTAAAATTGTTGAGAATAAGAAGTATTTCTTATTCACAGTTATATCTCCAGAGTTTAGCACAGGACTTAACAAATTACATAAACATCTATTGAACTAGAGAAAACAAACAAACAAACAAACAAACAAACAAACAAACAAACAAGGTTTTTCACAATACATTCCAGGCAAGGGTCTTGAGAAAGTGCTTTATGGTAATGACAAGTAACTTCTACCTATAAATTATCTTATTGAGTACTTATCATTCCCAGATGTTCCCAGTGCAATTTTCTCATTCTCTCCTATTCTATCCTATGTTTTAAGTTTTTAAAAAGGAAATAAAGTAATGACTGGGGCTGTAACTCGTAGATCACTTGCCTTACATGCATGAGGCACTAGGTTTGAAGCTCAGCACCACATAAAATAAATAAATATTTTAAAAAAGGAAATAAAGTGTACTCAATCTGTAAATACTTGTTTATTTCATTATATTCTAAATAATTTAAGAGATTTAGTTTACTGGAGTCAAAAAATAGAAACAGTGGGGTGGGATTGTGACTCAGGGGCAGAGCGCTTGCCTCGAGTATGTGAGGAACTGTGTTCAATCCTCTGCACTACATTAAAAAAATAAAGACTGTGCCCATGTATAAATGAAAAACAAACAAGCAAACAAACAAACAAACAAAAAAAAACCAGAAAAAGTTAATTCTACTAGCAGAGAGTTATAGGATGACCCAGCCAGGGGAGAGTAGATTAAGAGGCTCGAAGTCTCTAATCTATAATCCCCTGTTTAAATCTACTACGATACCTAACAGTTCAAAGAAGGCAGTAAATCTGGTTAAGTGAATAGGTAAAAAAGAGAAGCCCATGATTGTTAATACTTCAAAATGTTTATTAGCTCTCAAAGTGCCATCTTTGCCTGACCTTCTTTCCAGGCATACCTATTACTTACTAAGACTACCCCACATAAGATTAATCTGCAAACTTTGGTTTGCTAGCATAGCAAACTTGAAATAAAATTCCTATTTTTCCCTACAAAGAAATAACAAGGGGCTGGGGATGTCACTCAGTGGTAAAGCGCTTGTCTAGCATGTGTGAAGTACTGGGTTCGATTCTCAGCACCACATAAAAATTTAAAAAACCAATGACTTCCTCAAAGAATCCATCAAATCCAATTAAATTCAGAAATAAACACAAGTGATTTCTTTTACAGTAGGAAACAACGCAGAAAAAACACCCAAAGATCCTAGAAGAGCCACACAAATAATATAATTCTTTTATTAAAGCACACGTTCTTAGAATCCAGTAGAAGAGTATGGGTAAACTATAGAATGCTCCATAACTAGAGGCATCATGGCTACTCACATGATGAAAAAACGTGGTGCGAATATAATCCAAGTGTCCAAGCAATGTGAAGAGACAGCGCCGAAGTTTGTAATTCCAAACCTGCAAAGACAAATATATCTACCTAAGGAAAAGGATGTAAGGGTCTTGAAGCCAGATACAGAGATGCACACCTATAATCCTAGCTACTCAAGAGGCTTAGGCAGGAGGATCTCAATTTTTGAGGCCAGCCTGGACAAGTTAACAAGACCTTGTTTCAAGATAAAATAAAAAAACAGGCTAGGGATATAGCTCAGTGGTAGAGCGCCGGCCTAGCATGTCAAGGTCCAGTGTTTAATCCCCAGTACCACACACCAAAAAAAAAAAAGATATTCCTGGAAATTGAGGAGTGAGGATCTTGGGTTGGCATTTCTAAATAGGTAGGAAATTTGACAGGGAGTCCTATTTTAAATCAGAGGATGAAAATATAGGTCAGCTAAACAATGTGAAAGAGGAAGGTATGTGTGGGAGTGCTGGGTTAGGGAAAGCTAAAAATAAAATTATGAAAAGGGGACTAGGAATATAGCTCAGTGGTAGAATGTTTTGCCTAGTTTGCACAAGACTCTGGGTTCAATCCCCTAGCACTGCAAAAACAATCAAGCTACAGAAATGTCTTCCTTTCTTTGGGGAGAAACTTTTCTTTTCTTTTGAGACAATGTCTTGCTATGTTGCCCTGGCCTCAAACTCCTAGGTGCAAATGATCCTTTTGCCTTAGCCTCCCCAGTAGCTAGAACCTGTAGAAGCCATTTATATAAATTATAGTTTGTTGGAGCCATTAAGGCAGGGAACCCATTCTTTCAGGATCCTGGGTGAAAATCCCCAGGTTCGAGAATGCCTGGATCATGCTGGCCCATCTTAGCTTACAGCCTTAGGATCAAACATCCTCCCCAAGAAACAAGATCCCCTGCTACACTGACACCTTATACCTTGATAAAGCAAGCAACGGCTTTTTCTTTGTTAGAAATCAGACCCTTCTGGTCAGCTCAACTGGTCATATATCTGCTTTAAAAATATTCTTGCCTTTTTGTCTTTATTTTCTGATATATTACTTTCATAGCTTTTATTTCACAGCCAGCCCATCCCTCCGATGAGTACCCATTCTCTCACACATGTGGGATGTGAGTGAGAGGAATGAGCTGGGACTAGCCCATGGCATGCACAACTGTGCCTGGCTTGAGAAATCATTTTAATAATAGGAAACTACTCATTCAGTTAACTTGACACTTCTTCTTTTTACAGGTATAATTATGTTCTCATCTTAAATAAGCCCCTTGGTACTTCACCTATCACTTTCAAAAAGTAGATTTATGATTCCAAAGGAAAGAGTAATATGATACACAGCATCACCTTGACTCCTAATTTGAGGGCAAACGATGCCCATACATTTGGAATCTGTACTCACCTATCATACTTATAAACTCAAACTCATTAATATGAAAATACTACATGGCTCAGAGAGGCTGAAGCCCCCAGTACTGCCAGCCAGCCAACCAACCAACCAACCAACCAACCAACCAACCAACTCATTTTAGGAAAAAAACTGTTTTCTTAAATGACAGTCTTTTCTTTATTAAATTATAAGAAACCAAGTTAACCATTTTTTTTTTT